AAAGGTCGATGGCGGCGACAACAACCGCCGTCAATCGGTCACCCAAACCGGTAAATCGCCACGTCGGATCATTGCCGCGCCACCATGCATGGCGCGGCACTGGCATTTGGCCGCGCCAGGGCAATAGGCGTGGCCAAAAATATTAGTTTAAAAAAAATACAGTGTTAGATTTAAAATTAGTTATCAAAAAGTGTTAAAATTAAAAAGTCGACCAAAGAGTGGCGCTGCAAAGTTGGATGTAAAGTTGGATGTACTTAGGGCTCCTGCAAATTTAGGACAAGGCCAACGCTGTTAGCTTCACCTAAAAATAGTACTCTACATAGACTAAGATGATCTAGTGTTACTGTTACGTAGACTAAGATGATCTAGTGTTACTGTTCTCTCAATGTAGGCTATTGTTCCTCGTCCCACGAGTCTCTACGAGAACGGTAGCCACTTTTCATGCTCTTGAGTCTTGAATGGACGTTGGAGGAGGTGACATGACAATAGAGTGTCTCTTCACCACAACGCGTGCTCTAGTGAGTGCCTTAGCCTTTTGTCAAATGAGATACGGTTAGGGGAAGGTAACATGACAATAGAGTGTCTCTTCACTGTTCACCACAATGCGCGCTCCAGTTAGTAAATCATGTTCCTACGGCGACCCCCATGCCACTTGCCTTTGTGTTGACTGGATCTCCTCCTTTACATGCATGCATGCAACTGTTAACATGAAACAAAAACATGCAAATTGGCCCCTTTCCGTGACTACACAACATGCTAGTTCCTTAGGTCACTACGTGCAACGGTGTCATATTTATTGTTGCTGGGGAAGCCTGGAACTTGATGTGACTTGCGTCTTGTTAGAGCCGCAACACCTTCAAAAATCAAAACTTGCCTAAATGAAAAATTGGAGAACGTCTAAAAAGCTATCCGAAGAGAGTATTTTTTGAAGGTGTAGACATTAATATAGTTTAGATCTTCGACTAAAAGGATCATCGACGATGGCCATGGTGGTTTTTGGTATTTGCACAATTTCTTTTTTGCAACATCATGAATAAGCATAATCCAAGCAATGGGACCCATCTAGCATGGTGTCTAATAGATCTACGTATGTGAAAACGGGTGGAATCAGTCAAACACCTTGTATCGGGTGCTTTGTCAACTATTATGTAAGTGGACTATCTCAAAATTCAACTGCACAGAGATGTTTGTTGCAATTTATTAAAAATACAAAAGAATACTATCTCAAAATCAAAATGACGCATGAGAATTTTCTAAAAAAGAAAAGAATTTCTTCACTTTTGGTCGCTGCAACAATGTGATAATGTCATATGTCCATTTTGTCTATAAGAACCTCGTGGATAGATGATTTCGTGAAAAGTGGACACCAACGTTGTGGCAGCGCGAGTTCACATATGCTAAATGGCCCCTGTAAAAGCTGGAACAGCACATTTGAGCCCCTCTCCCCTTCTCCAGGACGCGCGCAAGCAGAAGCAGCCATCACTCAACCGCCACCGCCGCCGCCGCCGCCGGAGTGATGGATTCCTGCGGATTCGATTCCGCCGGCCGCATATTCTCCAACGCCACCGAGATGTGGGAGGAAGAGCTCGGCTCCACCGCCACGGCTTCCACCGCAGGGGAAGTCGAAGCCGCCCCGGCCCCCGCCACTGCCACCGAAGGGAGCGGTGGCGCCAGCGAGGAAGGGGCCGGGGACGGGAAGCGCAAGGAGTGGTACTCCAAGGCTATCGCCTACTGGCAAGTAAAGCACCCGCTCTTCCTCCTCTTCGAGGCCGCCCTGAACCCTAAACCCCAATCCAAATACTTATTCATGCCTACAAATTTAGCTTAGAATTTGGTCGAATTGGTGCCGTAGGGCGTGGAGGCGTCGACCGAGGGGGTCCTGGGAGGCTATGGGTGTGTGAACGATGTGGATGTCAAGGGCAGCGACGCCTTCCTCCGCCCTCTCCTCGCAGACCGGTTCGGCACCGCGAAGCGTCATCTGGTTGCGCTTGGTGAGTTTATTTATTACTGCAAGGAAGCTTTAGCTAGTGCAAGTAGAGCTTGTTTCTGTGTGAGTTTTGTTCCAGTAATTTCGCTCTGTGAAAGTTACTGTAAATTAGGCTTTGTTGTTGTTGTTGTTGAAGTTACTGTAAATTACTGTGTAATGTTCATTTTGTGGAATCCTTGTGTGCAATCTGCCATGTTCTTATGTGTCATTTTTTTCAAAATGTGTCAGATTGTGGCTCGGGTATTGGGCGCGTCACAAAGAATTTTCTTCTCAGGCATTTCAACGAGGTATGCTCCTTTAATCCTGAAGATAAATGCATACTCAGAAACTGCAGCATCTTGTACGTGTATGCGAACAGCATACCATACCATGATACTAGCAGCAAACGACCTATTTCAATTCTTCTGATGTGTACATAATTAAATTGTTATTGATGTTTGATCTGTGGTATTTTTGTTGTGTCTTCTTTTGTTTTGATCCTTTTTGAAAATTTGGAATTCAGGTAGATCTTGTGGAGCCAGTATCTCATTTTCTTGAAGCAGCACGGGAAAATCTTACTGGATTTATGGACCAAGGAGAAGACTCACACAAGGCTGCCAACTTTTACTGTGTGCCTCTGCAGGTGGTACCTGTAGATCATTATCTCTCTGTAGATATTCTTTGAAAAATTATTCTCCCCTTCTCTGTATATAATCTAGTTTACTTCTTGCTTCAGGACTTCACTCCTGAGGAAGGAAGATATGATGTGATTTGGATTCAGTGGTGCATAGGGCAACTTCCTGATGATGATTTCATTTCATTTTTTAATCGTACAAAGGTGACTTGACTATGACTTCATTAATTTATTTTAAATCGTACACTGTTTTTTTTGTTGGATTGTATTGAAACATTTGGTTGTACTTAAAGTGCAAATTTGACACTTGTATTGGCAAATAAGTGCTATACTACAATTTTAGGTTTTATGGAATTCTTTACCATGGAAATAATGGCTTGCAGATGAACATCTTGGTCCACTGGTAGAAAGATTTCCTGAATATATGTTTCAGATATTACTTGGACAAATGTTGTATTTCTGGTTGTATATCAATCTTTTGTTCTAAGAAAATGCCAATTCACCTATATAAGCCACACTATTTGTAATCATACTACTTTTTCCTTAGATATGCAATTAAACAAACCCTTCCAAATGGTCTTGTTTGTGCGCCTATTATTAGCGCCATAGTATCAAATTCTAATGCATTCTAATCAGGCATATACTTCAATTTTCTTTCAAGGTTGGGCTCAAACCTGATGGTTTTTTTGTTCTGAAAGAGAACATTGCAAGAAATGGTGAGTTTGCTGTACCATATGTTTTGTCTATCTACCACAACATATTTTCTTGCGAAAAGTGGTGTTGTACTCAATTGGAAATTGTTACAATGCATTGTTTCTAATGTTATACTTCAACAAGATCATATGCTTGATGTTGCTCTGAGAACACAATGTATGTTCTTTCAGGTTTTGTGTTAGACAAGGTGGATAACAGTGTCACTAGATCGGATCCATACTTTAGGGAGCTATTTAAAAGGTGTGGATTATATATCCTCGGTGTTAAGGTAAACATTCAAAAGTGCTGATGTTATTTAGTTTATTCTTCATCTTTCCCATCACCCCATCTAATCCTGCAAATGAAACAGGACCAAAAGGAACTCCCGGAGGAACTATTTGCTGTCAAAATGTATGCACTGGTGACCAGTCAACCAAAAATCCAGAAAAGTGGAAAGAGAAGGCGGCCTAAAAATTCACCTCGTGTGATCCGCTCTTGAGGAATGCGGGTACTAGGTGGCCAGTGAGCTGCTGGGCCTGTCTGGCCATGTATTGCCACTGGCTTGTGCTAAAGTTTCTAGGACATCAGTTTTTGGGGTGTTTGTTTTGTTTCTATACATTTTATTTCTTTACAAGCTCAAATTTCTTTGAGATCAACTTCATTCTCAATCTCAACTGATGTTGTATCACCTGGTTACTGTCGAAATATTCAAATATATGATTTCTGTGGAGTGTGCACGATCACATTATTCTGAGAATATGCTGAAGTTCTGAATCAGAATGATTGACATGTGCTTTCCCGTCACATCCCAGAATGAAATATCGCAGAACCGGTGCGAAATAAACACCCAGTTGGTAGATAGGCCTCTATGATTTTACTGGGTTTCCAGTGCCATCTGCAACTGCAATAAGTGTCTTCTCCAGCCATAACAAATTCTAATGGTCTGAATTCTTTACTTAAGAATGCTGCTCTTCTTGCCTTCCTTTTCATTCATATTTCCTTATAATTATCATGACAAGTAGCAAGTGAGCATAACTAAACTAGTTGGAGTGAAAAGTGTGGTCATGTACCTAACCACCCAGATTTAATTCCTCCCTCACCTTGAATTTAGACGACTATTTTCTTAATGAAAAACAGCCTAGTTCTTCCTAGGTTGGTCACCCTTCTTTATTATCATTACAGATTGAGTTAGCATAAACATGACATTTGGTACACAGCAATGATTGTTTTCTTGTGTGGTCTTAGCTGTTGCCTAAGCTGCTCATACCTTTCTCAAACGCACAAAATTTGCGGCACTCTCCAGAATCTGTAAACTCAAGCACAGAATATCCATCAGATATACCCAGTCTTCCAACTGTGATGCTCCTTCCTGTCACAGAGACAACTCATGATGGGGACCCAGATGAGGAAACAAACGAGTGAGAGAGAATCTTGCATTTGCAAGTGTCTGATGCCCTGATTTTGAGAACTAGACGGAAAGAGTTAACATGCGATTTTCGATACAGCTGGCAATGCACACAATGCTGAGGCAGCGAAATACTATCTTCACATTCAGAATAGATCAACAGACATCAGTACACCACATGAACTTTGAACTGAATGGACATGTCAACCCATCGCACGAAGACAGATCCAGGATTGTCCCTGGCTTGAATATATATTACAGATCCCCTAGAATTTCTCATGCCAAGAATTGGGTTATGTGCATCAGTTCTTCTTCCCAGGTGTCATGGATGGAGGCAATGTCCCAAAGACAGCGTCCCAAAGCGATGAGGTAATGCCAAAGCCCATGTCTTGGATTCTGAAGTGATGGCTGAGGTGATACCTCTGCATATCAGGCAAAGTTTCAAGGAATCAAAACCTTGTGGACATTTCCATAATTCCATGGAGCAGCTGGCTAATTCATGACTTTTTATAAGAGGCATTAGGTCCTCACCTTGAGATGTTTTGCTGGGTCTGTGGATGGTTGTCCATGGTGCAGGTAGTAGTGAGTGCAATCATACATCACATATCCCAACAGACCACCTCCAAATAATGCAGGTGTGGTAGATGGAGTTGCAAAGAATGCGACCAGGTTCCAGAACTGAAAACAAAACATTGGAGGGTTCAGTTGAATCGGCCATATTTCTTCTGAATGGCCAAAAGTTCCAGTTCAGCAAATCCAGTTTGAAGCATAGTGTTAGTACTTCTGTTGCATGTATAACAGTTTCAGGGATATACCGGGAAACACAAAATTGCTGTTGCAGTAGGAGGAAAAACAAGCCTGAGCGAGTCCATAGGGTGCTTATGGTGGCATCCGTGAAGAAGGTAATGTGCGGTGTTCCACCTGCAACATTGCATCGACAACAATTTGAAGAGCAGAAGGAAGACGTAATGAGACATTGTTAACATGATGGTTGAAGCATTCTTACCAGTAGGTTTTGGTCTCAATGTGGAATAAGAAGCGGTGCAAAGTATATTCAATCAGCGTCCAAATAAATATTCCAATTAGAGCCATCAGAACTACGTCCTGAATGGTATTACCCATCAAAATAGATTTCACGAACATGAAGCAAACAACAGGCAGCCATATAGTTGGCACAGCCCACCACTTTGTGCGAGTCAAGAACTGGACATCCAAAAAGTTTGTTAGTATGTACCAAAACGCCATGAGATAATCAATAAGATGGAATGCGTTACCTCCAAGACATCATTTCCGAAAAAGCGTGGACCCTCCTTGCTCACGATAGGCTGGTGAACCCATTCCTGGTAACGTTCCTCAAGATGGCCAACCTTCATCCACAAAATTAATAGGCAACCAGAAGATGGTTATGTGTTTTTTTAAAAAAAAAAAAAGAAGTCCGTTATGTCAACTGTGAAGCAGCTGGACATCGATTCAGAGATTCACAAACTCAGAATTTCACAATCACATGAGATTCCTCTTTCATAATATACATCAGCAGCATGTCTGCCGCAATTATTGAAGAGGAAAAGGCACAGTCTACAACATTAGACCAGGTTTTGAAAAACCCAAAGTTGCACTAAACAAGCTCAAAGGCAATGAGAACTGTAAAGTGCGAAAGACAATCCCATAAGCTACTTCAAAAAGGCTAAGATTCACAACAATCATCGCAAAGAAGCAACTAGGAGTGAACCATACCTGGAAAACAAGGGGCTTGTTGAGATCAACTGTGAACTCCTGGACAACCATCTTCCCCAGTCAGTGCTACACCTGCACGGCTGCACCACAGAATCTCACATATCAAATACCACGTACAACAGTGAGGAAGCAAAGACAGATTCATAGAGCTACAGACTCCAACAGCGCAGGGGGGCAACTCGTAGCTGGTGATGAGCAGAACCAACTGCGAACGACAATGGAGAGGAGAGCCACGCCGAAGTAGCTAGCAAGAGTGACGCCTTGACACACACCAGTGAGGGTATCATGATTACCACCTTTTCCCCGGTGCCCACGATAGCGTTTCCCTGACCGGGCAATCATCGGCATGTGGCGCTCCGTCACACAACAGGCAAATCTTTATCCCTTTGCTCAATCGCCCACAGCGGATGCTAGCACGAATTTGGCAACCAGTACTCGAGTGTCACAACTCAAGAGTGTGCGGTGTGCCTCTATTGTCTGTCTACACGGTTTTTTTTTTGAGTCGTAATGTTTTGCAGTCAAATGTTCGCACGAATCTGAACAGACTTGGTACGAGACCGTGGCAACAAATGCGGGCAGAGCAATCTCGGTCTAGATCCAAGGCATTGGGATCCTCAAACCGCCGCCGCCGCCCAAGCACCGAAAAAAAAATCTCCGACGTCGTATACATCTACGAAACTAGACTGCGCGAGCGTCATTGTGCAATGCGGACGGCCACGGGGTCTAGCCTAGTGGACTAGCACGATGCGATCGAGAGAGGGGAGGGAGTGGGATCAGAGGGGGACAGGGCAACTCACCAGCGGCAGTAATGGCGGGCTCTTCCCCGGGAGCGGCGGACGGAGCCCTCCTTCTCCCCCGGGGCGAGAGAGAGAGAGAGAGAGAGAGAGGAGGGGCGAACGGAGAAGAGCAGCGGATGGCAAGAGCCGGCGCCGGCCGAATAAGAGAGCAAACGCGAGGGGCTATCTGCCAAAAAAAAATGACTCCTCCCCTCTCCAGAGTCTCCAATCTGCCGCCAGACCAACAGATCCCCCGCCTCCGTGCTGAGCTTCGTGCTCGCGTTTGAAAATAGCGGGATTTTGCAAGGGCCGCGTCTGTAAATGTTGATCCGCCAAGGGTTCTCGCTCTCTCCAAATAGCGGCAGGGGGTGGGGCCCGCCCGCCAGCTTGGCATTGGGCTGTGCCCTGCTGTGCGTGAACTCGCGATGGGGACAACTGCATGCTGAGCTACACGTCGGTTTAACCAATTTGTTTTGGCAAGGCTGGTGCACAGCAAGCAAAGCTCACTTGCTACCAAAACTGATTTACTGACCTTAACCATTTACTATGACTTGTGATTATGAGCACGTTTGTTGCTAGGGAAAGATGGTTTCCGTGAAATCTTTTATAGCCAGGGGAGTTCCTGTGAAATTCATGCGTGGTAACTACGGTAGAATGGTAGACAGCAGCTTCAGCTTGAGATCTTGGCTACTGTGGGATCTTTCGGAGCCACTTTTTGCCACCGATGAGGAGGGGCATGTGCGGCACATGTGGGCGACTGGGCGCAGCACGTGAACCGTTCAGAGACAGACAGAGCAAGCAAATGCAAATCCTCTCTCGGAAACGGTTCCATCGCGCCCAAATCTGCTGGCCGTCGTCACTCGCCAGCTACCCAACGCCTCAGGCATGCCTGTTTGCTGCTGGGTCCGCCCACCGCATCCGCATGTGCGCTCGCTCGACCGCCGGAAGGTTACTGACCGGTTCAGTTCGCTCGAGCTTTATCAGCACGAATCAGCCGGCCAGAAAATAATGTTCGTTTCTCTTATAATTCGTTTTTTAGCTTGTTTTTTTTAGTCAAAATAAGTGTTTTTTTCTTACAACGAATCAGCTAGAACAGTGATAAACGGGCCAATAAATCAGCCATACAAATCAGTCAAAGCCAAAATAAGTGGAGCCGGACAGGGCCTCGACCATCATAACAGCCTGACCGACCCAGCTCCTGATGGAGCTTTAATTAAGCCTTCAATAAGGAGGTAATTGGTTGCTCAAGGGTCAGCGAGCCGGGATGGAGTGGCTGTCCAGGCTCTTTTCAGCCATGATAAGACTATACACTTTGTTGTGTTTGATCGTCTTTGTTGTTGGTATAGTATGAAACGAGATCGTGTTTGGTTGCACGCATGCATCAAAGTTTTGAGTGTCTGACACATGGATCCCTGCACCATGCGTGTATGAAGCCATCCCGGCTCACGATGAAAGGTGAAATTGAGAAGACGAAGGCATGCAAGATGAAGAGGGCAGATGAATGGAACGAAGCAGACAAAACGTGCGAGAAGAGAAACCAAACATGACCCAGTGCACCACTTGGTACCGGATTGGGCTTCGCACGGCGCGAACAGGACAACCAATCACCCCCTAGCTGAATGATCTGCTTCACACAGGAACATGGCTGATGCAGATTGACACAGGCTTTCACAAAAAGACGAAAAATCACTCACTACCAATACTCGTCAGGAATGACAGGTGACCAGCTCAAGGAGAGCAAAGCCGTAAGCTACTTGACCCAAAGGATGCGAAACACAAACGGACGGCGACCTATTACAGTGGCCGCAGCCGAAGCACAGACGCAGCCTCAACGGTAAAAACCGAAGCATAACCAGTTACCAATCAATCATGCAAGCCACAACAAGCACAGAAAAGAAAAAACAAACTCATTCAGAGAGACACAACCTGTCGGTGCGGCAGCCGGCACCGGAGTTCATCGCTATTCGGCCACGGCGTCCTCTTCCTCTTCCTCCTCGTACTCCTCGTCGGCGGTGGCGTCCTGGTACTGCTGGTACTCGGCGACCAGGTCGTTCATGTTGCTCTCGGCCTCGGTGAACTCCATCTCGTCCATGCCTTCCCCCGTGTACCAGTGCAGGAAGGCCTTGCGCCTGAACATGGCGGTGAACTGCTCGCTCACCCGGCGGAACATCTCCTGGATGGAGGTGGAGTTCCCCACGAAGGTGCCCGCCATCTTGAGGCCCTTGGGCGGGATGTCGCACACGCTCGACTTGACATTGTTGGGGATCCACTCCACGAAGTAGGACGAGTTCTTGTTCTGCACGTTCAGCATCTGCTCGTCCACCTCCTTGGTGCTCATCTTCCCGCGGAACATGGCCGAGGCCGTCAGGTACCGGCCGTGGCGGGGGTCGGCCGCGCACATCATGTTCTTGGCGTCCCACATCTGCTGGGTCAGCTCGGGGACCGTGAGGGCGCGGTACTGCTGCGATCCGCGAGAGGTCAGCGGGGCGAAGCCGACCATGAAGAAGTGGAGACGAGGGAACGGGATCAGGTTCACGGCAAGCTTGCGCAGATCAGAGTTGAGCTGACCAGGGAACCTCAGACAGCATGTGACCCCACTCATGGTAGCAGAGATAAGATGGTTCAGGTCACCAACTGCATCATTAGAACCCACTATCAGTACCAACCTTTTCAATAGACTACAGACTACAGGATATCAAATTTCTAAAGTATCATAGATAGCAAGTAAAGAATTAGTGAGGATTAACTTACATGTAGGGGTGGCGAGCTTTAGTGTGCGGAAGCATATGTCATACAGAGCCTCGTTGTCAAGCACCATGCATTCATCCGCATTCTCAACGAGTTGGTGAACAGAAAGTGTAGCATTGTAAGGCTCCACAACAGTATCAGAAACCTTTGGGGATGGGAATACAGAAAAGGTCAACATCATTCTGTCAGGATACTCCTCCCTGATCTTGGAAATAAGAAGGGTGCCCATGCCAGATCCAGTGCCTCCTCCCAAGGAATGGCAAACTTGAAAACCTGTAAGGTAAATAAAACGAGTCATTCAATTATCCACAAACACAAACAGTATTCCTAGCATGAAAAATGTAATCGGGCTACATGGGTTGGAAAGATACAGCAACACTTGAAGGTCTCAAGATATCAGAACGTGATGCATTCTATGTGACTAAAGTTTGTTAACAATAATCAATCATGTATTCATGTTACCACGGTTAAGTGATGTTTTGAATTCAGTAAATTTCACAACATACTACCACCATGCTCTGGTAGCCCATGAACTGATCTTGACATGCTACCAAATACTTCACTTGGGCACACCATAGTTTATATTAACACACAACAACCATATAGGAATTAAATTTCAAGAGACATAAAGTTTCATCACTGCAATACTCACCAAGACATGGAATTCATTTTGTCTGGTGTTGGCCAAATAATTCAGTCCAGCTACGACGCAACATTTAATTAGACTTTTTAATGGGAGTTGGTCATTAGACGTTGTAGGCTGCCAGAGTGGAATTCCAAGCTAACACACCCAACACTCATGTTACACTAATAAAATATCCATCCTACCGACAGTTGATGTCGGTCCAGCTACTTAGCCCAGAGAAAAGGTACAGGAGTTCAACATGAATCAACAAGAGTATACATGAAGAGTTGAAGACACAAATTGACTAGAGAACCTCAACAGAGTTCCATTGACTAGCAAACCTCTAGAGAGTTCCATCATGAAAGCGCCAATATAATATAACCACAAAAAAATAGACCAAACACGATAGTTACTACAGCTATGATGTTTTCTGTTCAAATCATCCGACGCAGACTGTACGAATGCTTACCCAATAACGGAAATTACCAATCATCACTACATCATGCTAGGTAGAAAAAATAGCTGAATCCACAGCTACAAGCAATACTTTCAATGCATGCAGTGCCATAACAATTAACAACCTACCTAGAGGCATATCCGCATAGGCTAATGCTTAACAATAACACGGGCCACTTGGCGAATTCATCAGCACACAAGACAAATTACTAGTAAATGCGACCGTCGATGAAAAAAACACCTCGCTGAAATGCCAATTGGAGGTCATTTTAATGTCATTCACATCCCCACGGACTCAGATCTGGCCCCCAACCCAACCGGATGTAACCCTAACAATTAATCGGAAAAGCTACGGCAAATCGGAGCGCGCGAGACATGTGGGATTGGGCGGAGTAATAAATAATAATAAATACCCTGGAGGCAGTCGCAGTTCTCGGCCTCCTTGCGGACGACGTCGAGGACGGAGTCGATGAGCTCGGCGCCCTCGGTGTAGTGTCCCTTGGCCCAGTTGTTGCCGGCACCGGACTGGCCGAAGACGAAGTTGTCGGGGCGGAAGATCTGGCCGAAGGGCCCCGAGCGCACGGAGTCCATGGTCCCCGGCTCGAGGTCCATGAGGACGGCGCGTGGGACGAAGCGGCCGCCGCTGGCCTCGTTGTAGTAGACGTTGATGCGCTCGAGCTGGAGGTCCGAGTCCCCCGCGTAGCGGCCCGTGGCGTCGATCCCGTGCTCGTCGCAGATCACCTCCCAGAACTTGGCCCCGATCTGGTTCCCGCACTGCCCGCCCTGGATGTGCAGGATCTCCCTCATGGCTGACGCCTGCCTGCTGGCTGCTGCTGCTGCTGCCTCGCCGGCGCCGGGGTCGGACGCGCGCGGGAAAAGGAAGGAGAGGCGGGGAGCGGCCGCACGGGTCTCGGCTCGCGGGTGCTGTGGGCTTGCGGTCTGGTCTCTGGTCTAGGTGAGGACGGATTTGAAATGCTGCTTTATGCTGTTGCCGTGGGGCTTCCACCGAGTCTTGGAGCCGTGGTCTTGTGGACCTTTGCTGTGTCGAGAGGCCCGGCCGCCGCGGTGGGGGCCCAGTGGCAGACGAGTGGTGGCGGTGGGGCTGGTCCATCTCTACCGTCTGTTTGTTGATCGGACGGCTACAGGGCCCGCTTCCTGTATTTTTTTAAAGGGAGTTTCTGGACGTCGTTACAGTAGACCCGATTTGGTTGGGCTCTTTCTGTTGGTGTTGGCGTTGGCGACTTTGGGTCCAGGCTGGGCGTGGGCCCACGTGGCAGGCTGTCGTAACCGAACCGCGGGCCCAAAAAGACAAGCTTCACCCGAGCTGTACACTGTATAGCCTGTGGTGCGGTGTCTCTTCTCGTCTTGAGCAGCAGCAATGCTTACGAGACAGGCAATGGTTAGATGTGTGATTATGGCGGCTATTTAGACAGCGGATAGCGACGCTTGGCCGGTAATGCAAGCAACGCCTGGACCCTGCGTGTCAACAGACGTAGCCGTTGCTTACTCAGAGGAATGACAAGACTCTGTTTGTTTGGCTGATTTGTTATGAGAGAAAAATATTATTTCTTTTCTTGAAAAAATACGGCTTCTAAGATAAGTGAACAAAGCCGATGACCAATTACCAGCATGTTGCTGATTAGCTCATGTTCAGGTAGGGAACACAGAGAGGGTGGCAGTGGCACCAACTAATGCATGGCTGGGGACGAACTAACTGAAAGTACAAGTTAAACAGGAACTAAAACTTTATCATGACGAGAGAAAAAGATAGAACCTCTATTATCTGCTTGCCACGGCAATACGATACCTAGGTTCAACGGGGGAGCTAGGAAAGCTAAGGACGTAGTACCCGTTTAGATAGCCAAGTGATCCCAACAGACCTAGCGATACGTCGATCCAATCATGCAGCATATTCACTTTTTAGGTTTCAACCAGCCCAAATCAGTCAATCAATAATGTTTTTCTCTCATAATAAACCAGCACCAGTCAGCCTAGAAACCAACCAGCTGAATAGACCGATGGTTAACAAAACAGCAGGGTCTTATTTATATTATTATTAACTGCTTCGATGCTACATCATTGTTATATAGGTACACTAGCTTCCCCTACCTTCGAGTTGAAGATTGCTGCCATGTAGGATGGTCAACAACAAATGCTCTGTTAGTTTGGTTTTATAAGCCATGACTAAAAGTACTGTTAGCTGATTTGTTGTGACAGAAAAATACTATTCGTTGGCTAAAAAAGTACGACTTATAAGCCATGAGAACAGGACGAAAGCTAAACCACTCTTGTCCTCACGCCGATTCTTCGTTGATTGGTCAGGGGAAGAAATGCTAGTTATCGTACATGACTTGGGCAGCGCCGCCGGTTCTGCAGCCTGTTCGGCTGGTGCTGATACGATCGTATACGATCGTGGATTATTACCGCTGGCTAATTTGGTGTGAGAGAAAAATACTATTCTGACTTATAATCCACGATCGTTTACTACCCATTGAACAGGCTGCTGAATGGAGTAACACACAGCGATCGGTCGACCGTACTGCTCACTGCTTATGTGGCTAAACTGCCACCGAGGACCCGTGGGAGCTGAGGCGCGAGCGCGACAGGCGAGATAGCACAACAACAACAAAAAAAAAAAACAGCTAGAATTAAAAAAAACAACAAAAATCTGCTCTTTTACATGAGTTATATGGCAATGATGACACAGAAAAAGACTGATGACAATAATATAGTAATATTGAAAAAAAACATACTGCAGACTGATAGAGGAATAGTGGCTTCTCAAACATTCACATTTGTTAAAAGTGAATGAAATGAACAATGATTTGGGAACAACTAACTGTTTCATTGATCTCTTTGGATTATATATAAATGAAGGGTCACGTTGTACGGACGTCGTACGGACGTGACTGTTCGGGAAAGGTAACTATTCACTAGAACAGTCCACTACCCAAAGAAACATGCCTCTGCGTAGTGCTACAGTTAACTACTAATCTAATTTCTAATCCTAACTGCTTGTACGGACGGATGAGATCATCTGTAGAAGGACGCCTGTTGGTGTACTGGCGTTATTTCACAACACTCCCCTTGATCGAATCTTCTTTGAGATCAATGTAGCTGTATGATTGGATTCCTCGAAAAACCCTGTGGGAAAAAACTAAGAAATATGTATGTATAGATATGACTATAAAAACTCCTTTAAACCTTATAGGAGAATAAGGAGAAAATAGCATATATGAGTGTGATTTAAATAAATCACTATGTCATTAGTATCTCATTAAAAACCCTAGGGGGAAATATTGGAGATACGACATATAGATTACTTCCCAAAAACCATTTCGGAAAAATATGAGGACCAATATAAAATGATATGTCGCTAAAACTCCTGTAAAAATCCAGTGGGAAAATTAGAAGAAAATATGATGACATATTATTGGTATTGCCTCTTGGATAACTCACATGAAAAACCTTTTTAGAAAAAAAACTATGGATGAGTTGTGAGGGCAATATGTGTCTTTGATATTTCCCACAAAAACCCCGGTGGGGAAAATAGGAAATATGACACATGCTTATGTTAATATTACCTCATTAAAAACTTTAACAAGAAACCTTATAAGTAAAACTTGTGAAAGAAAAGAATATAATATGATGCTGGTACATGCTCAACATTTAGGAGATGTCTCCCCTTGATTCTAGCAAATCTCGAAGTTGCTGTATACCAATTCTATGTACCAATTTTTGAAACACAGAAGTTGGTAAGGACTTAGTAAATAGGTTAGCGAGATTATCACATGACTTGATTTGCAAGATGTTTATTTCCCACTTTCTTGTAATTCGTGGGGATAAAATAGTTTAGGAACAATATGCTTAGTGATATTGCTCTTTATGTAACCTGTTTGCATCTAGGTAATACAAGCGGAATTATCTTCAAAGATAATTGTAGGTGATTCAATTGAACCAATACCACATGACTATTGTATGTGGTTAATCATTCTGCGAAGCCATACACATTCTCATGATGCCTCGTATAGAGCAATAATTTTAGAATGATTAGTAGAAGTCACTGTTAGAGTCTGCTTAGAAGACTTCTATAAAATAGATGTACCTCCATGTAGGAATACAAATCTTGTTTGGGATTTTCCGTTATGAGGATCAGATAAGTAACCTGCATCAGTATAACCAATCATACTGGGATCATGATATTTCTTGAAGAATAAACCAAGATCCTTTGTGCCATTAAGGTATCTGAGGATACACTTCGCTCCCGTCCAATGATGGCGAGTTGGGTCCGCACTATGCCTAGCCAGTAAGTTCACTGCAAATACGATATCAGGCTTGGTGCAATTTGCAAGATACATAAGTGCGTCAATGACACTGAGATATGGGATCTCTGGTCCCAACATCTTTTCCCCAATATCCCGTGGTCTAAATGGATCTTTCCCTATTTCTAAGGAACGAACAACCATCGGAGTTTTATTAGGGTATGATTTATCCA